GGTATGCCATGGTCTGCTGGGAAGAGCGGTTACAGACATTTCCTGCGTGCTTTGAATACTCAGGGTTGGGATGCTCAGGGTGAATGGGGAGTTCATGGAAAGGGGAAGGGAGGCAACAGCGTCTGAATTTGAGTTGACTGGGCTGTGTTCTGGGAGAAAAAACACACAGACATGAAATTAAACAAATAACACACATAATCACAGAGATAAGGGCAGACTAAATAGTAGGGGTGGGAATCACTGGGGAACTCACGATTTAATTACACTTATTCTATCCAATTATCAAATAATTCTTGATGTATCACAATTGTTTATTTAACATGTGAATTCTGATTATTTCTACCACAAAGTATAATTGTTACACTTTGTGTTTAAAATGTCAGTCAATAGGATTTATTCCAGTTAAAGTTGGAGGGTTTAAAAATTAGCATACAGTGCCAGAAAAAAACATTAATAACACAGAAACCTGCTCTAACTGTTAAATTATGGGCACTGATGCAGAACTGGAAGAAGGCAGGGCCATGATTTTAGTGATAATTATTTCTTCCACCCCTACTTACTAGTGAAAATAAATATATAAACCAATACATTTCATTTTTACTTTTTCAGAACCAAATAGAGTTTAGACATATGTAGCCTGTGTTATTTTAGAGCTTCCCTTTGTTTAAACGCAAGAAAAAAAATCAAGTAAATTGAATTTGATCCATCCTTATATCAAGAATGCAGTGTGCATGCAGTCATTAATGTGCACATATTCACATAATGTATCATACAGACCAATTCATTTTAATGTGTCTATTCTGTTGGTTTCAGTCATATATAATGTGTATATAATATTTTATTCAAATCATGACCCAAAGTATTCAAAATCTAATTGTGAGAGTCATGCAAATACCCAACCCTACTCAACAGCACTGTTGTGTAGGAACCTTTAACTAGCCTTTTAAATTTCTGAAGGACAAGTACAAAGGCAGAGGGAAAGCACTGGTGACTATAGATACTAAGGCTGGGTATCCCCACTGAGTTCTTAAATCGATCGATTCAATTTCAATTCACAGGTCAATCAGGTCCTGATTCAATATCGATTGGACTGGGGATATTTCAATTACAATAAAAAAAAAGAATAAATTCAGAACAGGATTTTATAACTAAATGTTCTTTCTTAAGCAGCAACGGTAATATTAAAACAGCAATGTCACACTATCAACACTATCTCACTGGAAACAAATCTAAAATGTCAATAAAGTAAATCATATTCCTGACATCACAACACTGAGTGAAGTTTAGAAAGAATAAAGAATCCGTCAGTAACAGTCCTCCTGTCCTCTCTGCTCCTCCCTCTGCTGCTGAGGAGAGTCACCGCCTGGGAAATTTGAAGATACGAGCCAAACTGTGCTAAACCGTAAAAAGTAAGCTAACTGTTACAGATAAAAGATCCGGTAACATCGGAGTTTCTCAATACTACAGTCGTTAATGAATAAGCGTCAGGGCCCATTTACTAAGGACAAAACTAAGAGGGTTAAAGCTTCACAAATCCATGGGGGAAAAACTTATATTAAAAGACTGATCGCAGATTTTAAAAATCGATATTGGGTCATTCATATGAAGATCAATTTGAATTGGATGAATCGATTATTTTAACCCAGCCATAATAGAGATATAATGAAGTGGTTTCTCACACACGGATTACGTCTAGTCCCAGATTAGGGATCAGTTAAATAGTCCAGTTCAGTTTGGGCATGTAAAAGGAAGAAATGAGAATTAATTCAAGCTCTGTTTTCTAATCTAAATAAACATCTACAGATAATTTATTACCCTGTTCATTATCATTCTGTTTCACCTTTATGCTTCCAGTCGTTCACAAGTTTTCGGCGCTGGAGTGGTGTGAGGTACTTCTCAAGATCATTCTCTTGGAGAAACTGCATGTCATTTTTACTCTCAATGCCAAGTTCCTCTAAGCTCTCCAGCAGAGAGGTCAACGTCTCATCAGTGAGGAACGGAAGAGATGATAAGACTGCATCTTGAATTTCCTGCCAATTCATTCTCTTAAAAAAAAAAAAAAAAAAAGGAACAATAATCATACACTTGTATGTCATATCTGTCAGAGACCTGAATATATATTTTTTTATTGTTACTAAAACCCTTAAGTGTAGCGATATATGTGCAGAGGATCATGGACAGTAAGGACGATATGTCAATAAATACTGTCATTTGATATGATGATTTATTGTGACTTAGTTTACGTTTAAAAAAATTTTTGATCAAACTTTTAGAGACAACACATATTGAAAAGGATATGATGTATTGGCTTCTTTATAAATGAAGACGAAGACAAGTATTTCCTGCTCCCCACATCTAGGGCTGTCGCAAATTAGTTAATCGAACAGTTTGATTAAAAAAAATTGTCTCCAGATTATTGCCATGAAGCTTCAAAATATTTTACTGGAAGCAATGCGCTCCAAAGTCTGCTGGAAACACAAAAGAAACATTTAATTCAGAAGCACTGAGACTTCAAACTTTAGACTTTATATTAGTCAGTGACAGCCTTACTACGCACCATCCTGGCTGAGATGTGCATAGGGCCGGGCGATATGACATCAAATTAATATCAGGGTTAATTTAACATTTCCTCTTGTTTACAATTAATTTTTTTTAATTTTTGCCTGCACAGTTTACTGGGGTTTGTAGTGCAAAAATGTTCAACTATAAAAGCTGGGATATTTTTTCCTTATGAATGAGTGCATAATCTATCTTAGTGATTTTTAAAATAATTGAAGGAAACATGGACAGTGTCCCTCAACTGCACAGAGGTGTGCTTCTCTGAGACAAAGTAAACAAACATGTTGAACAATCATTAATTTAATTTTTCAAATTTGAAGTTCTTCACAACTGTTCCCAAGCAAAACAAGCATTCCCTTTTGGAACACTGTACCCCTCACTGTTACTCAATCAGCAGCCAGTGTATTTTTCTGACTCAAATTTTTAACTGGCCACAGATGCCCCAATTCTGTTATTATGGTCATTCACATTAAAACTCAGTCCATTTTTCTCTCTTGTTGACTTGGTGTCAACAGGTTGCCTACACTTAAGTACACCTGGAGAAGCCGGTGTCTTTCTGCAAGCATTTTGCACAAATGGTTTAAGTTGAGCAATATAATAGCACACTGCATAATGAATGTACATGTTACATGTTGAGCGAATGCTAGTAAGCTAGCCATGCACTTGCTGGCTTGCTCCCAGCTCTAAGGTATACTAGCAATTATTTTAGATTGTAATTTTTCTACATTTTGTTACACAGAATTAAATGTTTGCAGTTGCATAACACAATACTGATAATGGCTGTGCGTGTGCTGTTGATTTCCGCACCAGAACGGCTTCGTTAAATGTTTGTTCCACATGTTGTCATTGCAAGAAAACCTCATAATTCCGCTTTTGTGATTTGTCATATTTTGTTTGAGATAAAAACGTTTGTGTCTTTCACAGGAAAATAGAGTAAACTTATTGTTTTTCATTCCTAAATTGTTGATAAATTTGCATGACAGCCAAGGTAGTAAGTTTCATTTGAACACTGGGGGGGGGGGGGGGCATAAGAAACAGTGGACTGGGGGTCATCCACTAGAAAATTTCGAGCACCTGACACTCAGTTTCCTGCATTCTGGTTAATGGTATGCACAGATCTGTACCTTTTGTACATCATATTATGGTGTACATGTCTTATAAGTTCTGTGGTACTCCCATATCACACTACAAAGAATAAAGTATAAAGAGAGAACCAGAGTAAGACCAAGTTACACTCACCGTTACATGGACTGCCTCCTCTTCCTCTTTAATCTCCGGAGGCTCTGGCTCCTCTTGGTCCACACTGAAGTTCCTCTCCCCAATACAGAGCTGTTGGTCAGTGACGACCTCCTCCTCCTTACAGACATGTTGCTGTGGGAGCTCTGTGGGGACTGAGATCAAAAATAGGATACTACTGTGGTTAAAGAAAATACAGACATGACAGCAAGTAAATACAGATATGTATTTAAACTATTATAATCCCTGGGTAGTTTACATACCTGTCGCTTGTAACGTCATTTCAGGTTTCCAGCTTTCCAACAGTCTGCGCTGACAGTCGATTTCTTCTTCATACTCAACGATAGTTTTCTCAAAAACTCCGAATATTTCTTCAGCAGCAGCAGTTAGTCTCTCGTTAATAAACCCTCTCAAAAACTGAACTGAAGACATTGTTGTGTACTGACGAATATAATATTTTTCTGCGGTACGAGAAGTGTCCTGCTCCAACTGACTACTTCACCATATTCCAACAGCGAACGCTATCGGCGTGTTTTGTTTACTTCCGCTGACGTCAGAATTTTAAGTTCCGGCAGCGGAAGTGAATTAGCCGTTCGGTTATTTAAAGATTTTAAATAAATAAAAACATTTTAGCAGAGGTGAAATGGCTTATTTAACACAGGTAAGTAAAACTGGCAATAACGTGTCAAATTGATGTCGTACAAATGTAATTTAAAATATGTAACTTGAAAGAACTCCTGCACAATGGCTCCCCCGTGAGGCCAAGATGTGTCAATGGCATTTTTGTAGCTGCTAGTCAAAGTGGAGCTAATTATTATTATCATTATTATTATTATGCCTGGTTTAAGAAGGCATCGTGGTAAATTCAATTTCATTTTATTTTATTTATAAAGCTTTACAGTATACGACATCCCTCTGTTCTTGATTCCTCACAGCAGATAAGGATAAACTCCTCACAAAAATCCTTTAAAGGGGAAAAAATTAGCTCATTGTAAGTTTTTGTACAATAAAATCTAGTCTCACGTAGCCAGCTCTATCTCCACACTTCATTTTAGCCCTGTGTAGTAAAAATCTCTATCAGCAAAATATCCCTGGCTGTCAAGAAAAAGTCGTACCCTAAAAATTAAATTTATCTTTAACATGCAGTAAAGTAGAACTATATGTAGTAGAAGGGAAAGTACTCAAAGAATACCTCAAAGGTGATGTTTTTTTTCTAACAAAGATTTATTGTTAGAAAACACAGCAGAACAAAAACAGCAGTTTAGAGTCCATGTCCCTGAGGAAACTGACTGTTCTGTTAGTTACTTAGGCTGAATTGTTGACAGCACCATGTAGTGCATCATCTACAGTTTTTGTCTGTGTCACCACTTAAACTGAAAACAAAAATTACATCAAACTGATGCGATTACAAAATACAAAAATATACAAAATTAGATGACATGTTGCAGACAAAAAAAAAAGATCCTAGTTGGCAGGATGACACAAGTGAGCCAAAAGCAGTAAAGATAAAAATAAATAAATAAAAACAATATTAATAACCAATCAAACATTTTTAAGATTCATGAACTACCTGTGCAACAAAGACTTTTCAATAACTTTGGGGGATTGTTGAAGAAATATTGTTGCCAACAGAAATATGAAGGAAAACAATGAAATCAGAGCAACAAAACTTGATGGCATTGCTGAAAATATACTACCTCAACATTTTGTAAACTCCTCTCAATGGGGAACTGTATACATTCAGTACCTATTGTAAAAGTTACACTCAACAGGAGTTTTAGCTTGGCAGTTTTTCCTGTGTATAGTGATCCTCAGATGTTCTTCAAGATGTTTGTAATTTGAGTAAAACTTTTACTTCAACGCTGCAATTATGTGGCTCCTCTCTGTGAGTTCTTGTGTGCTTTAACCGGGAACCACAAGAGTTGAATTGTCTCCAACATATTTCGCAAAAATAAGATTATTTGCATGTATGCGATCTCAAACGCAAAGCACCAAAGCATGTTTTCCCACAGATCGTTTCAAAGGTCCAACTTCTCACCACTGTGGTCTCTTCGCATGTGGGCTGACAAGTTCCTATTATGTACAAAATCTTTCCCACAGACGCTGCAACAATATGGCCTATTACCTGTGTGAACTCTCATGTGGACTATCAAGTTATAACGACGGCCGAAAGCTTTCCCACATGTCTTGCACGCGAACGGCTTCTCTCCTGTGTGAATCCTCAAGTGGGTTGTCAAGTCTATACTACGTCTGAAATCTTTTCCACAGGTGTTGCAACAATAAGGCCTCTTCCCTGTGTGGGTTCTTATGTGGTCTGTCAAGTGGCTGCTACATCTGAATTCTTTCCCACATGTTTTGCAAGAATACGGCTTCTCGCCTGTGTGGGTTCTCATGTGAAATCTTAATGACGTTGCGTGGTTGAATCGTTTCCCACAGGTGTTGCAAGAATATGGCTTCTCTCCTGTGTGGATTCTCATGTGGTCTGACAAGTAACTTTTATATCTGAATTCTTTCCCACATGTTTTGCAAGAACTTGGCCTCTCACTTGAATGGACCCTTAAATGACCATTCAATGATGCCTTCTGAGTGAACGTCATGCCACAGTGGTCGCAAGTATGTGGCTTTTCACCTGTGTGGATTCTCGCGTGTATCTGCAAATCTGACTCATTCTTGAAAGCTTCCCCACATGTATCACATTTAAAAGACTTTTTACGTGTGCGTGTATGACAGTGAATTGTTGACACAGTGGGGTTAGATACATTTTGAGTGTGACTGTTATGTTCGCGGTGTTGATTCTGTTGTTTTGGCTTTGCCTTTCTAGTTGATCCTGAGTCCCGATGCTTGCCTCCTTCCTGGTCTTGGCTCTTGGTTTCATGAGAGTTGTGAGACAGGAGCTGGTGGCCACTGTGTGATTCTGGGACCGCAGCGCTTATAACCGGCATTTTTACTGAAGGCTCTTTCTCTGCTGCACTTACAGTATCATTATGATAGTTTGGTTCTGGTACCACAGAGGTTAGAACTGGCATTTTCGCTGAAGGCTCTTCTTCTGCTGGACTTTCAGTGTCATGATTGTTTGGTTCTGGTACCACAGAGCTTCTGAGTAGCATTTTTACCGAAGATTCTTCCTCTGCTGCACTTACAGTGTCATTATGATTGTCTGGTTCTGGTACCACAGAGGTTACAACCTGCATTTTCACTGAAGACTCTTCCTCTGCTGCACTTACAGTATCATTATGATTGTCTGGTTCTGGTACCACAGAGGTTATAACCGGCATTTTCATTGAAGACTCTTCATCTGCTGCACTTACAGTGTCATTATGGTTGAAGTTCAGAGTCTGATCTTCTTTGACATCTCCTTCCTCATCAGAAAGACTCAACATAAAGGCATCAGTCTCCTGCTTCAGCTCGAACTGCTCTCCCTCCTGACTGCTGCACAGTTCCTCCTCTTCCTCTTTCATCTGTGGAGGATCTGGCTCCTCTTGGTCCACACTGGAGTTCCTCTCCTGAATGCCAGGCTGCTGGTCAGTGACAACCTCCTCCTCCTGGTCCTGCTGACAGACATGTTGCTGTGGGAGCTCTGGAGGGACTGAAAACAAAACGAATAGGATTCTACTGTCATGGTGAAGATGAAAATGTAGACATGCGAGCTAAGTATTACCAGTAAGAATATCTAAACAACTGTGATTATACATAAGTCGAATTTCTCTGTTTTGTGGCATTAAAATAAACAGGTTTCACACACCTATCCTGAGTAACGTTACTTCCGGTTTCCAAGTCTCATCCAACTGTCTGCGCTGACGGTCGATCTCTTCTTCGTAGTCGACAATAGTTTTTTGAAAAGCTCCGAATATTTCTTCAGCAGCAGCAGTTAGTCTCTTGCTGATAAACTCTCTCAAATTCTGAGCTGAAGACATTGTTGCTTAATTACAAAGTGATATCACTGCCAACGTAACGACTGAGATATCTTCTTCTGGCTAACACACCCAAGTTGTTAGCGAACGCTACTGGCACTCGTTATGTTTACTTCCGCAATCCACCGGATGTCACAATCCTAACTTCCGGCAGTTGGGATTAGTTAGTTTTTCGTTCGTCTCGCTTCATGTCACAGAAAAATTAGTTTTTGTTTTGTTTTGTTTTTAAATCTTTGAACAAATAAATTTAACTGATATCTTTTCAAGTAATTAAAAAAAAAGATTTAAATAAAAACAGCAGTAGGAGTGTAAAGACTTGGCACAACTAAGTAAATGTAGAAATAACAGTGTTAAATACTCATATATCCAAATTGTTAAGAAACGTGTCAAATTAATACGTCAAAAATGTAATTTTAAGGCATGAAACCTGTTGCAAAATGATGTGTAAATATAATTTTTGTAGCAGTAAGTAGAGGTGGAGCAATTTATTTATTTATTTATTGCCTGGTTCACATACTGATTGATAGTTTATTAAGAGAGCATCATATTTAACACGCTCATTTAAAGTATTTGTAGATAAAAATAAAGTCTTGCATAGCCAAACCTATCTGCACACTTCATTTTAGCACTCTGGAGTAAAAACCTTAACAGGCAAAGTAACTGTGGTGCCCCCAAAAAATTAAATTTGCTTGTAAAAACACAGTATAGTAAAATTATTTAAAGCATAAAAGGAAAGCAAACAAAAAATAACTCAAAAGTTCTGATTATTTCTTTTATTGTAAGTGTTTTAAGCTTTTCTATTTGTGTGGAATACATACAACCTTGGCCATCTGAGTACTATAAATACAGTACTTGAGTAGCCGACATGTTACATTTTCCACTATAGACATTCTTGGTCAATATGAGACAGCTTCACTGATCAAATTTACAAATGCTATCAAATCATTTAACTTAACCTCCAGTCGCTGAGTTGCAATATTAAAACATGTCCTGCATGTTATAACTTAACACTGATAAGAACTATTCTCACTATGACAACTTATTATACACTTAATTTAAGTCACACTCTGCTGCAGCTGCGATGAACATAATTTACTTCTCTAACTTAAGACGTCAGGGTGACTGGTTTTCTTAAATAATCACCTTACAAAGCTTTACTTTTAGAATATGCATTAGACAGAAAAACAGCATTCTCTTGCCCATGATCCTTAATATTATAACTTCTTATAATCTAAGCTTATTTAAGCATTAAAAGCACCAAGCAGTACACGATTTACTTTTGCTTTTGTGTCACTACGAAAACCCCAAACAACAAAAATTATATCAAGTAGATGCAATGACAAAATACATAACATTTTAATTAAATATGACATGTCCAGACAAAAAGGAAAAGACTCTAATTGGCAGGGTGACAACATAAGTGACCAAACCCAAGGAGATCAGATCAATAAAACTTGATAGGATTGTTGAAAATGTACTACTTCAACATATTGTGACTTTTTGGGGATTGTATGCATTTAATGGCAGAGATGTAGCTATTGCAAAAATGTATTTCATACAGTTAGTGAGCATGACTCATCGGAGGTTTCAGTTCAATGGTATCTCCTGATCCTCAGGTGTTTTTTTTCCAAGAACATGATTTGGGTAAAAGTTTTCCTTTAAGTGCTACAATTATTTGGCTCTTCACTTCTGAGTTCTCATGCAAAAGCAAATCTACTCGCCTGACTGCAATGCTATATGGTTTGCCGTAGTAGACCCATCAAAGCAGCTTTTCCCACAAGTCTTGCAATGGTCCGACTTCTCACCAGCGTGGGCTCTTTTCATGTGGACTACCATGTCACACTTACGCCTGTAATCTTTTCCACAGGTGCTGCAACAATACGGCTTCGCACCTGTATGGATATTTAAATGCATATTCAATACTGATGACCGACAGAACGTCTTCCCGCAGGTGTTGCAAGAATATGGCTTCTCACCTGTGTGGGTTCTCATGTGGCCTATCAAGCCTGAACTAAGTTTGAAAGCTCTCCCACATATTTTGCACGTAAACGGCGTCTCTCCCGTGTGAATTCTCATGTGGCCTATCAAGTGACTTTTGCGTCCGAAATCTTTTCCACAGGTGTTGCAAGAAAACGGCTTCACACCTGTGTGGATCCTCAAGTGGACATTCAAATTACTAAGAAGTCTGAAATCTTTTCCGCATGTTTTGCAAGAATATGGCTTCTCTCCTGTGTGAGTTCTCATGTGGACTTTCAAGTGACTGCTATATCCAAATTCTTTCCCACATGTCTTGCAAATAAATGGCTTCTCACCTGTGTGTATTCTTATATGATTCTTCAATAATGATGGCTGAATGAATTTTTTCCCACAGGTGTTGCAAGAATATGGCTTCTCACCTGTGTGTGTTATCAGGTGTCTCTTTAAATCTGACCTATACTTAAAAGTTTTCCCACATGTGTCACACTTTAAAGACGTTTTACCTGTGTGAGTATTACACTGAATTGTTGATATAAAAGGGTTAGATACATTGTAAGTTGATCCTGAGTCTCCGTGCTCGTCTCCTTCCTGATGTTGGCTCTCAGCTTCATGAGAGTTGTGAGAGAGGAGCTGGTGGTCACTGTCTGCTTCTGGGACCACAGAGTTTTTAATAACAATGTAGTTTATAAAGTTTTCCTCCACCACATTTTGAGATTCACTGATACTAACATTGAGAGACTCGTCTTCACTGTGGTCACTTTCTTCATAAGGAGGAATCAACATAAAGTCATCAGTCTCCTGCTTCACTTCAAGTTGCTCTCCCTCCTGACTGCTGCACAGTTCCTCTTCTTCCTCTTTGATCTGTGGAGGCTCTGGCTCCTCTTGGTCCACACTGGAGTTCCTCTCCTCAATACAGAGCTGCTGGTCAGCGACAGCCTCCTTCTTCTTCTTCCAGACATGTTGCTGTGGGAGCTCTGGAGGGATTGAGAACAAGAGAAACAGGACAACTACTGTGATGGTAAATTACCAAATTACCAATAGCCTTAAATGACAGGACAATTTGAGGTATGAAAAGGGGACAGAGAGAGGGGACAACATGCAGCAAAGGGCTGGCGGCTGGAATCAAACCTGCAGCCACTGCACACAAGGACACTGCCTTTGTACACGGAGCTCCCGCCCTACCTACTGCGCTACTTGGCACCCCTTACACATGTAGTCTTGGTAATCTGAGCACATCAGTGTTATCCATAAATACAGTACTTGAGTGGCTGACATGGAGTTACATTTATCCACTGCATACATGTTTGTTCAATGAGGCAGCTCCACTGAAACTACCAGTCTCAAATCAAAAGTGAACCTAACCTCCAGGTGCTGAGCTGCAATATTACAACACCTTTTGCATGTTATAACTTCACAGTCTGAAAAGACCATGAAACAAGAACTGAATTGTCTCACGTATTTTGGAAATACAAGGCTTCTTGCTTGTATGCGATCTTGTAGGCTCTATAGGAGACGCATGAAAGTGTTTTTTTCTGCAGGTCATGCAAAGGTACAGCTTCTCGCCTATGTGGGCTCCTCTCGTGTGAACGATCAAGACACTATTAGCTCTGAAATTGTTTCCACAGGTGTTGCAAGAATATGGCTTTTGTAACCTGTGTGGATTCTAATATGAGCCTACAATAGTGATGTCCTACAAAATCTTTTTCTGCAGGTGTTACCTGAATGTGGCTTCTAATGGGTGCGTTGTCAGGTGTCTCTTCAAAGCAGACTAACCTTTCCCACACGTGTCACATTTTAAAGACGTCTTACCTTTGTGAGTATTCCAGTGAATCACTGACAAGGTATGGTTATATACTGTTACCTTTGTGACATTGATTTTGTTGTTCTGGCTCTGCATTTCTAGTTGAACCTGAGTCTCCATGCTTACCTTCTTTCCGATCTTGGCTCTCAGCTTCATGAGAGTTGTGAGAGAAGAGCTGGTAGTCACTGTTTGGGTCTGGTGAGACAGCGCTTTTAACACAAATGTAGTTTGGAAGGTTTCCCTCTAAAACATTTGTTTCATCGATACTCCAGTTCACAGTCTGATCTTCACTGTGCTCACTTTCCTCATTAGAAGGAGTCAACATAAAGTCATCAGTCTCCTGCTTCACTTCAAGCTGCTCTTCCTCCTGACTGCTGCAGACTTCCTCCTTTTCCTCTTTAATCTGTGGAGGCTCTGGCTCCTCTTGATCCACACTGGAGTTCCTCTCATCAAAACAGAGCTGCTGCTCAGCGACAACCTCCTCCTCCTTACAGACATGTTGCTGTGGGAGCTCTGGAGGAACTGAGAACAAAACGAATAGGATACTACTGTGATGGCGAAGAAGAAAATGCAGACATGCGAGCTAATTATTATCAGTATATACGCTCAATGGCCACTTAATTAGGTACACCTGTTTAACTGCTTGTTGACACAAATAGCTAACAGGCAATCGTGTGGCAGCAACTCAATGCATTTAGGCATGTAGACATGGTCAAGACGACCTGCTGAAGCAAAGGGTACCTAATAAAGTGGCCGGAGAGTGTATGCAAACAATTGGAATTATATGTAAATCAAATTGCTGTATTTTGAGTCGATAAAATAATTACATCTTACACACCTATTCTGAGTAATTTTATTTCAGGTTTCCAAGCTATATCCAACAGTCTGCGCTGACGGTCGATCTCTTCTTCGTACTCGACGATAGTTTTTTCTATAACTCCGAATATTTCTTCAGCAGCAGCATTTAGTCTCTCGCTGATAAACACTCTCAAATACTGAACTGAATACATTGTTGCTAAGCTATAAAATAAATGTTATGACCTAAAAACCTTCTCCCAGCTCATTCTGTACATCCACTGAGCTAACGCTGCTAACGCTTCCTTTGTTTACTTCCGCTGGATGTCACACTGTTGAGTTCCGACACCGGAAGTGAGTTAACCTTTGGTTCCGTTTCACTTGATGTTGAACTTTGAACGTTTCGCTTCATTTCACATGGAAATAAAGTTATTTTCTCAATACTTCTACATTCCTGATGTGTTTTCAAGTTAGTTAAAACACATAACCTCAAATAAAAAAAAATCAACAGCTGTGAAATGAAAGGACTTAACTTAGACAAGCAAAAGTAGCAGGGACAGTGTTAAATACCCATGCGTTCAAATTAATTAACATGTCAAAAAATTGTTAAAAATGTGATTTTAAAGTATGAAACATGAATGCAAAATAGTCCTTGTCAGTGTTACTGAGGCCATAATGTGTTCATAGCACTGTGTAGCAGCTTGTTGACGTGAAACAATTTTATTTTTATGTATTAATTATTTACCTGGTTTATAGACTCAAAAGGCATCATGATTAATAGGCACATTCTAGGTTTTTGAGTGTAAAAACATAGCCTCCCATAGCCAGACCTATCTCCACACTTAGTTTTAGTGCTGTGTAATAACAATCTCAAAGTAACCATCGCTGTCAAGTCAATGTCATGCTCTAAAAAGCACATTTGACGGTAAGAACGAAGTAATAAGAACTATATGTAACATGGAAAAATTAGTCAAAGAATACCTTAAAAGTGATTTATTATTATTATTTTAAGTGTGACATTTTGTGTGGAATGTACATGCAGTCTTACCCATCTGAGCACAATGTTATCCATGAATATTGTACTTGAGTAGCCTACTTGTAGTTACATTCCTCCACTGCACACATTGTTCAATATGAAGCAGCTCCACTGAAACCACCTAGCGGTATCAAATCATAGTTAACCTCCAGCTGCTGTGCTGCAATATTAAATCACCTCCTGCATGTCATCATCTTACAATCTGAAATGAACCCTTTCTTTAACACCATTTTGTCACCCATGCTCCTTAGGGCACGTATCATTGCATTCATTGTTTGGGCTGATCCACTGACAGCACCATGTAGTTCAACATCTACAATTAGTGTCTCACCACTACAACACTAAACAGAAAAAGTACATCAAGTTCATGCAATAACAAAATACATTATTTGGCATTAAATGACTCAATGCAACCAAAAAATAAAATACTTGTGGGCATGATAACATAAATGATCTAACAGCAGTAGAGAGTCCTCTCATATATCTGATATAGTGTATAAAAATTGTTCAAAGAGTTAGTCAGTTAGTGCACATGTCTCCACAGGAGTTTCAGCTCCATGGTTGCTCCTGTGTGTACGGATCCTCAAGTGCTTTAATGAAGTACTAATTTGAGTACACATTTTCTTTAAGGTGCTGCAATTACATGTCTCCTCACTTCTGTCAGGTCTTGTGTGTTTTGAAAGTGACACATAAACAGTAAACTGTCTCATATTTCGCAGAAGCAAAATCAATTGTCTGTATGCGATCTTGTGTGCTCTGCCAAATGAGGGGCATCCAAAATATCTTTTCCTGTAGATCTTGCAAAAGTACAGCTTCTCCCTGCCTTTGCCTCTTCTCACGTGGACTAACAATTTGCCGTTATGTCTGAATTTTTTTCCACAGGTGTTGCTTGAAAATGGCTTCTGTCACCTGCATGGGTTCTTATATGAGTCTTCAATTCTATTGTCCGACAGAATCTTTTCCCGCACGTGTCGCAAGAATACGGCTTCTCACCTGTGTGAGTTCTCATGTGGCCTATCAGGTGACTACTCAGTCTGAAAGCTCTCCCACATGTTTTACACACAAATGGCTTTTCACCTGTGTGAGTTCTCATGTGACCTATTAAGTGGCCACTAAGTCTGAAAGCTCTCCCACATGTTGTGCATGTAAATGGCTTCTCACCTGTGTGGGTTCTCATGTGGCCTGTCAAGTGACCACTGAGTCTGAAAGCCCTCCCACATGTTTTGCATGTGTACGGCTTCTCTCCTGTGTGAGTTCTGGTGTGGTCTATCAAATGACTCCTTGATCTGAAATCTTTTCCACATGTTTTGCAAGAGTACGGCCTTTCGTCTGTGTGGATTCTTATGTGAGCGTTCAATACTGATGTCTGAGTGAATTTTTTCCCACAAATGTTGCAAGGATGTGGCTTCTCACCTGTGTGTGTTCTCAGGTGTCTCTTTAAATCAGACCTACATGTGAAAGCTTTCCCACACGTGTCACATTTGAAAGACTTTTTACCTGTGTGAGTATTATAGTGAATTGTTGATATAGTAGGGTTATATAAGTTGTTAATGTGACTGTTGCTGCTGTGATTCGATTCTGTTTGCTCTGCATTTCTAGTTGAACCTGAGTCTCCATGCTTGTCTCCTTTCTGATCTTGGCTCTCAGCTTCATGAGAGAGGAGCTGGTGGTCACTGTCTGGTTCTGGGACAACATAACTTTTATCTGCAATGTACTCTAGAGGCATTTCCTCCACCATATTCTGAGTTTCAATGATACTCCAGTTCACAGTCTGATCGTCACTGTGCTCACTTTCCTCATTAGTAGGAGTCAACATAAAGTCATCAGTCTCCTGCTTCACTTCAAGCTGCTCTCCCTCCTGACTGCTGCACAGTTCCTCCTCTTCCTCTTTAATCT